TTAGTTGAAGATGGACACAGTATCTTTGTGTTATTTATTTATTTCTGTGTGGTGCTCAGGATGGAACCCAGTGCCCACACATAGGAGGCAAGTGCTGCACCACTGAGCTCCAGCTGCAGCCCAGCTCCTCCTCTCATCTTTCCTGCAGCACACACATGCTGCCGTGATGTTCCACTTGCCGCAGGCCCAAAGTGAAGGCACGGATCATGACCAGAGCCTCTGAATCTGTGAGCCAAAATAAGTCTTTCCTCCTTTAAGCCATTTATTTCAAATATTTTGTCTTGGCAGAATGGACAGCTGACACACACTGGGAACTTGGCTTCTCTGGCATGGTGTGGAATGGACTGAGCAGCCAGAAGGACCCAGTGGAGCTCTGGGCCTCTGTGCAGAGGTGGCCTGGCATAGCATGCAGGGTGCAGGCTATGAGGCTGGGCTCCCAGCACTCGGTTGACTGCTCATGCTGGCTTGATTCGCTACAGTTCTGGGGCGTTTTGCTCGTCCTTGAGAATAAGCTGTGTTGGGTCGGATGGTGCTTCAGGTTGGGCCAGGCCTGCTTGGACTCTTGGCACTGCTCCGAGTTCTAATTCTCTAGTAAAGAAGCTCAGGCTGGGATGATGTGCCCCTTGAGGCTGTCACCTTGTCCCTCTTCAGAAGGGTTGCTGGTCATGGACATGGTCAGGACAGGGCCTGCACCCCAGCTTCTGCTTCTGCTGCAGTTGCTCCACAGAGTGGCCTGTGCTTGGCAGCAGCCACTAATCAGTTTGCTTGTTTTGTGTGCCTTGTTCAGAGCTCAGACATCAAATAGCCCAGCTGACGTCACACAAGGCCCCTTGTCTTCATGGTGGGGTGTACACACCTGCCCTATTGCTGAGCGGGCCTGGGCCTGGCTTTGTGCCCATAGGGTTGTCAAGAGTTGCAACCTTATAAATCTTGTGTGTGGGGGGTCAGTCTGCAAGGTGACTATGGGCCTGTCCAAAGGCCAAGGAGGTGGGGGCAGATGTCGGCCCACAAACCAGTCTGCAGCCTACAGAGTCTGCAGCCCCCAGGGCTGCTGCAGTGGCCCTGAGCAGCCTCTGCAGTCAGCATTCCATACCCCAGCTCTGTGGGAATGGCCTGTTTGGGTCCTGTTTCCTGGGTACCATGGAGATGCATGTTTGGGAGCTCCCAGGGGCCAGGCTAGAGGGACCCTCGCCAGGATTCCTGACCTGGCCTGCTCCAGCTTCCTTCATTTCAGCATGACATAGGCAGGTTACTGTCTGGGTCAGTTTCCACTGGTCTTAGATTCTTCTTTTTTCTTTTGAAGTAATTTCAGAATTACAGAAGAGTTGCAGGGATCACTAGAGAGAATCCATTCCTGCTGCGGTTGGGGTGCACCACCACTGGGCAGTCCGCTTGGGCTGCCGTCCTCCTCTCTCCAGCACTGTCCTTGCTGGGCCAGTCCCATTTTCCTCTCAGCCCTCCGTGCCCTCCGTGCCCTCCGTGCCCTGAGCCCCACAACATCCCTGATACCCAACCTTCAGGATCTATTATCACCTTACTTGTGGTTTGATGCTGTGCCCAGCCACGTGGATACCTTACCCTCCCTCCCTCCTTGGCCACTGGCCTGTGCACATGTCTGCCACCCCACTCCTGTACCTGCTGCAGTGCTGGGGTACTGTGCACTAGGAGGTTGTCCCACCAGCCAGAGGAGCAGCTGTGAGGAGCCCTGGACCCCACTGCCTACCCTTCACCTCACCATTCCTGTCCCTGCCCGCCTTCCACCTGGGCTGAGGTGTGCACAGTTCTAGCCTCTCCCTTCAGATAGGCGGTGAGAGGGCAGGGGTGAGCGAGAAGGAGAGCAAACTGGCTCCAGGTACATCTGGAAGCAAGGACACAGACTATCCAACTCTGGCTCGTAGCTCTGGAGAGGGCCTGAGTCCCCTAGGAGTCAGGGCATGGAGCTCGTGCCTGTTCTTGAAGTGATGTCTGACGTAGCTTGATGGAACTTGCTTCTGTATTGTTTGTCCTTAGACACCGTGAGTTCTTTATTGTGCTGGCCAGGAAAATCTGCATGCATCAGAAGTCAGGAGACAGAGTCTCGTACAGACGTGTTCTGGGGAGAGTGGGCCTGAGGCTGCAACCACGTCACCTTGGGACAATCAGTCAAGGCCAAGGACACAGGGAGCTCTGTTTGCTCTGCTCTATAGCAGACTTGGGCAGAGAGCCTCACACAATGAGCTCATCGCCACGCACACTGTGCCCAGCCAGTGAGGCTCCTTTTCCTGCATGCAGGACTGAGCCAGGGATGCACTTTGTGGGGCTCCCTGTAGGGTGGTCTTCTTCTCCAGGGGTGGTGACCATTCTCTCTGGTTTATGGCATAAACTTACACATCATGGCAAAAGTTCGTTCTACCCATTGTCTGAGGACACACGGCCTGTGAGGGGTTCAGTGACAAGTGAGGGGCCCCTTGTCCTACACGCCAACTCCTGCAGCCCAGTGCTTAGTCCTGGCCTCTGTCCTCAGTCCTGCTTCTGTACCGGCCACAGGTAGTGTCTCCTTGCTGGTGATAGCCCACCTGGTCTCTCTCTGAGCTGTGGCTGTCTGCAGTGCCAGTCTTGGAGCTGCCTGAGGCTCCAAATGGCATTGCCCAGGCCTCTGCAGGGCTGGCTTGTCCAGCCTGTGTCCACCATCAGCTAACTTCTGGATAAGCTGAGGTCACCACAGGGCACACGATTTTTGGTCCTGCCCAGGTCTGTGCATTGGGGGCACATGGGCATGATGGGCCTGGGAAGTCCCACATCCTGCAGCTGGAGGCCTAGTGCCCTTTCTGGTAGCTCAGTGAAGCTACACCTGCGACCACATCTTGAGTCCTGGTTTATTTGGGGGACTAAACTTCCAGATCCCATGTTCCCAGGATCCCTTCAGCAATGTGGTCCCCTGCACACAGGTGAAGTCTCCACTCAGCCCAGACTGAGACTGCTCTACCTCTCTGATCAGGGCCCAGCTATCACATTGCACTGAGGCCCTCATCCACAACAGTTCCCTGTGACCCTGGACATGTTACTGCCCTTTTTGAGCCTCAGTTTTCCCATTTGGGAAGTGGGGCCGGTTTGTCACATTCTTTTTTTTGGGTACTGGGAATTTAACATAGGAGTGTTTTACTTCTGAGCTACATCCCAGCCCTATTTATTTTTGAGGCAGGGTCTCAATAAGTTGCTGAGGGCCTCAGCCTCCTGAGTAGCTGTGATTACAGGCATGCAGCACCCCACCCAGCTCATCAGTTTCCTAGCTGAAGTGTAGCCAGTTCTGAGTGGCTTCGGGTGGTCAGCTTGAGCTCACAGAGTGATCGTCTGCCTTCACAGGTGATTGGTGGTGGCAGTGTGGGCCTTGGGGAGCAAGGCCTGTATCTGGCTGCATCTTTCCTGAGGAGGTGGGCGTCTCCAGCAGGCCCAGGGGCCTCAGCAGCACCACCTACCCTGTGGCTTAAGTGGCAGTGTATGTCTCCTAGGCCTGGTTTCCTCTCCTGAGCATGTAGACAGTGTCTTCTCACAGGGTCATCTTCTCTGCCTGTGACCTGATGTTTTAAGAACATCAGTCAGAGCCCCGTGCAGTGGTGCATTCCTGTACGCCCAGCAACCCAGAGCAGGAGGATCCCAAGTTCAGGGCCACCCTGGTGGTGGGGTGGGAGGTAGGTCAGTGGTAGAGGGCACAGGGTGCTTGGCAGCCCTTGACGGGAAGCTGTCCCTGGGCCTTTGTCTGTAGCTTGGCACACACTGCTCCAGCTTTCCTCATTTCCCTGAATGAGGGCACAGCTGCCCTGGCCCAGGCTCTGTGGCACTGCAGTGTGGCGGTGGCTTCCGCTGTGCAGGGGACCAGCAGCCCTCCCTGTTGTGTGCAGCTTGTGCTTGTTTCCCCTGCCCTGGAGCCAGTGAAGCTGTGCTGAGTGGATCACCTTCAGAAGTGGCTGGCAGGGCTTCAGACCCGGCGCTGGACTGACGCATCTGTGGGGCCCAGGCTGTTCGCTTATCTGAGCTTACAGGAGCACGCCCCACTCCCACTGCTGCCCCGCCCTGGGACAGTGTGCTCCTCCAGAATTCTCTGAGGTGCAGCACGTGGAGAAGACCTGGGGTGCGGGAGGTGATTGGTGGCAGTGTGGGCCTTGGGGAGCAAGGCCTGTATCTGGCTGCATCTGGCTCTTAGTTTGAATGTGGTCAGCCTAGTTATGGAAGGGACAAGCAGCCGATGACAGCTGAGTACTCTGTCATCCTCAGACCAGATGGGGCTAGTGGGCACGAGGCCAGCATTGGGGGTCCCTGACAGTGAAGGTGTCCATCTTGGCTGCCTTCGCACCACCCACCCGACCCCACCGGGAATCCTTCTTTTCTTCCTTCACTGGGGCTGTGGTGTGGGCTGAGAGCTTTCCTAGATGGAGTCCCAGGAACCCCAATGCTATGGGACCAACAGATGGTGTTCCTCCAGTCCCTGGCACACACCCTCCAGGTACAGCCAAGAGCAGACACTGGATGTAACTACCTTCCTGTCCACGCTGGAAGAACACTTGTGCTCTCAGGGGGATATCTCCTTGGAGAGCCCGCTACCCGTCCACAGGCTTCTGCCCAGTTCAGGTTCCTCCCTGCAAGCTGTCCACTAGCCTCTTAGTGTGTGGCTGTCCTGTAGTCAGTCCTGAAGGTCAGCTTGGGGTGGGTCAGAGAAAGGGAGGCTTCCTGTTAGTAATGGCCTGGGCTTTCTGGGAGAAGTCCAGGGGTCTGTGGCCATTGCCTTAAAGAGCTACCTGGTTGTGCTGGCACACTAAACTGTCCCCAGTGCCACACGGAGCCTATGGAAGTTGAGGGCTTGCATGGCCCAGCTGCTGTGAGTCACAACGGCCTGGGTGAGGGGCACTGCTGCCCTGGCCTCGACATCAGGCTCTTCAGCCTCCCTGTGGGAACTCTGGGCTGCCTTATTGAGCAGAACACTGTCTTGGACGCTCATTACCCACCCACTTACTCTCTCTCCTCAGGTGCTGAGGCAAAGGCCATTTTGCCCAAGAAGGAGAAGCTGAGGCTGCGTAGGGAGCGATGGCTGCAGAGTAAGTCTATGCCCCGTCTGCTGGGCACCCACACCTGCCTTGCTCTCCTCAGCTGGCAGCACCTCTGCCATAACTGGGCTTCTGCACCAGCTGTACTCCCCACTTGGGGGCACCAGGAACCAGAGGCAGACACCCAAGGGGGATCCTTCAGCTGCATTCATGACCACTGGTGTGGCCCGCTGACCACCGAGGTGTTGGAGGGTGTTAGGCAGGCCTGCGCACACAGCAGAGTGCAGTGGGCTGTCCTGGATCGGGGTGCAGCTGCCCACCTCTTGTGAGCCCCCGAGGGTCAGGGTCTGCTCCCTTGGAAAGCTGCCGTGCTTGTCCCCTTGTTGGTCAAGAGGACCTGTTTCTGGGTCCTCCTCCAGGGCCTCTGGGAGGCAGCTCTGCTCCATCCAGCCAGACCTCTCCAGCAGGCCACGCCTCTCTCCTTGCTCCTTTTGGTTGGGAAAATGTAGTTATTTGTGATACTGGATACTTGCTAATGTTTTTCTAAAGATTTTCTTCTTTCTTGGAAAAATACCAAAAATTGTTTGTGATTTTTTATTAGTTATGTTTTTAGTGTTATTCTGCCACCTTGTAAAATTGATCTGGAACGTGTTCATATCCTTACATGTTGAAATACGGATCAAGTGACTCTTGAAGATTTTAAAGAAAGTGTCATGTTTTTCAGAGGCAGTGCTTGGGGCAGTTTTCGGTTCCTTCCATAATTGATTTCTTGTTTTTTGTCACTCTTTGTATGTTTTAAAAGAAATGATTCATTCCTTCATTTTCTTTTTCACAATTCCTTATCACAGAGTTGTACAAAATACTCTTAGTAAGGTAAAAGTTAATGGGTCCTGGGCATTCAGACTTGAACATTCCTGGGGAATGGTGTTTTTTTTTTTTTTTTTTTTGATACTGGGAATTGAACTCAGAGGCACTTAACCACTGAGCCACATTCCAGCCCTTTTTATTTTTTAAATTTTGAGACAGTCTCACTAAGTTACCAAGCTTGGCTTTGAACTTGGATCCTCCTGCCTTAGCCTGCGGGGTTGCTGGGATTAAGGTGTGGCCACTGTGCCCAGCGGGGCTGTGGTTCTAACATGTATTTGGGAAGTGTAAGTTTTCATCTCTGTGCCAGGTTGTTTTGTTGTCTTGGAGTTGATTATTTGCTGCTCATGTCTTCCCCTGAAATAACCAAGTCAGCTCTGAACCTTGATGTCGAGTTGGGGATGTGTGTGCTTCCTGTTCCTAAGCATCTGCCATGTTCTCTCCATCAGTCTTTCTTTGCACCACCACCATTTCTGATTGGTGACTTTTTATCTCGTCCAATACAGAAAATTTGTAATTGTCATTCCTATTCTTGTTTTCCAAATGACTGTCTGTTTTATTAATCTCCTGTGCTGGCTTTCCTTAGACTTGTTTTAAGGACCTAGTTCCTCTGTTTTCATTAGCAACGAAAGGCTATACGTTGGCCTCTGGATGCAGCTACAGCTACATCTCCCAAGTTGTTTTTACTTAGTATTTTTTTTTTTAATTTCAAAAACTTGATTCAGAAAAGTGAGAAGAATTTATAGTGAACACCCTTGTACTCACCACATGCATTTTACAACCAACCCTGTCTTTATTATGTAACTATTTATCCTTTCCTGTCCATCCATCAACAATTTTTAAATGATTCCGAAGAAGGTTGCAGGCTTCAGTAGGCTTCACACCAAATAATTCTGCTGGAGTTCGGTTGGTTTATGGAAACTTCCTCCCCGTCCCCCCTTTTGAAGACTGTATTTACATACAATGAACCCTGGTGTCTAACAGGTCAGAACACTTCCAGCTGAAGTCCCCTTCAGAGCACTGACCTTTCCCGTCACCCAGAGATCCCTTCCCTTCAGGATATCTCCCTTCCCAGCTCCCAGAAGGAGCGTAGCGGTCAGCTGTGATTGTCTGAAGGCCAGGTTTGGTGACTCCTGTGAGCCAAGTCCCGTGGAATGTGCTCTGTGTCTGTCTTCCTGCCAGGTTGCCCAACGCGGTAGCCCATGCCCCTCATGGCAAAGAAGCATCTCTGTGGCCCAATCTTCTGTTTGTGGGCGCTTGGATTTTTCCATTTTTGGCCACTGTGAATAAGACTGTAATGAACATTCTTTTCAACTCTTCTGTGGACATGTTTTTGTTGCTCTTGTGTAAATACTTAGGAATAGAATGTCGGGTCATAGGGTAGGTGTGTGTTTAGTGTTACAAGCAGCTGCCAGACATATTTCTGAAGTAGTTGTGCACTTGCACCTCCAGCGGCATTGTGTGAGAGTTGTGGTGGCCTGCAGCCTTGGAGGTGTGTGTCTCCAGGCCTGGCTGTCTGGCGACCCTGGCCTGGGGTCATGGTGCAGTTAGTCCTCACGCTGTGGCAGAGACTTTTCATGTGCTTTGTCTTCAGTGACTTACATTTTTCTTGAGGCCCTTTGCCTTCTTATTATTGAGCAATTCTTTATAAGTCCTAGGGACCAGTCCTTGGTCATTTGTGAGTTCACAAATATTTTCTTGTAGACCATGGCTTGCCCGTTTGTTTTCTTAGAAAAAAAGATTCTTTGATGACAGGAGTTTGATTTTGAGAAGTTTCTTCTCTATTTTCTTATGTGGTTATGGTGTATGTGTCCTACTTGAGAAAACTTTGCCTAACCCTGGGTCGTGAGGATGCTTTCTTTGTTGTGTGGTCTGGATTCGCATTCATGTTGTCTGCCGTGGGTCAGTGGGAGGGCCGCTCTCCTTCCCTTTGCAGATTCCTGGTGAAGGCTCTCTTCACTGGCTGGCTGTGGCATCCAGGAGACCTCCGGGGTGGGTCTGAACTGCACCTTGGCAAGCGCACCCTGTCTGGGTTGTGGCAGCTGCAGGTGAGGCTGGAAGGCAGACACACACACGTCCTCCATCTCAGTGGCTCTTGCTGTTCTTGGTTCTTGGCATTTCCGTATAATTTTGACCATTCGCACATCACTTTCTTTAAGAATAGCAGCGGCAGTTATGATGGGATTGCACTGAATCTGCACTACACGTCAGTTTGCAGCAGTGTTGGCTCTGCAGGTCCGTGAACATGGTATATTTCAACATCTATTTAGATTTTCTTTAATAATCACCAGTGTTATGTAGTTTTCAATATTGAAGGGTTTTGTGTGTGTGTGTTTGCTTTAGATAAACTTATTTCTGTATTTTATAGTTTTCAATACTATCCTAAATGGAATATTCTCTCACTTCTAGTATATAAAAGTATTACTGACTTTTTAAAACCTTTGATTGATTTTTTTACATTCCTCTTGTACCCTGTGATCTCAGTGACATTACATGTCAGGCCGGGAGCTATTCTGTGGGGCCTAGGGTCTTTGGGAATGCATGTTTTCTGTGGGTGTTGATTTTCCCTGGGTTGAGATGGTTGAACTCCCATCAGTACATGGCTCTGCTCCTGACCTCGGGTTACACTGGCTTGTTCTGTAGCCCTGAGGACCAGCTCGTGTCCGCTGCCCTTCCCATTCCTCCTGGGTGCCCAGCCTCCCCCATCACTTTCTGTCCCTTTGCTCTGCTTTGCTCACTCCCACCAGTGACACCTGCAGCATGTCGCCAGATCGTCAGGGCTGTGGTCCTCGTGCCCCTGGGTGGAGGTGCCAGAGGATGGTGGCCCTTGAGAGTTTGGTGGGTTCCACCTGACTCCCCTTGGCCGTGCATGCCCACTGCTGCTCCTGCTGTCCTCGCGCTGGTCGTTAGTCACTTGTTGGAGTTTGCCAGTCCCATAGGCGAGCCGTGTCCCCATAGTTTTGGTTTCTTTCCCTTGGTGTCTGGTGAAGTCCGCAGCTGTCACTGTGGTAGTGGCCTTTGGTTCCTCTTTGCTCATCTGTGGTGTTTCTCTTAACCTGTAACTGACCTTAGGAGCTGTGTGAGGGAGGAGGTGGGGCAGTTCTGCTGCTCTCTGCTGGCCTGAGGGCTCGCACTCCTGCCACCTGCTTCCGGGGCTATTTCCAACCCGCTCTGAGATGAAGCGGTCCTGCTCTCTTGCTGCCTGTTCTGTTTAAAACAGTGCTTGACCATTCTTATGCATTGAGTCTTTTTTAAAAAGTAACATTGAGAATGAGCTTCAGGGTCTGCTTAACATCCTGTTACTTAGGCTGCATCACATCATGCTTAATCAGAAGAGCACAGGAGGTCCTGCCCACACAGCTCACTTGAGCCCACACTGTCTGTCTGTCTTGAGCCAGGAGCCTCCAGGTGGGAGTGCCCTGAGGCCGCACGCAGTCTCCTGCCCCTGCACTGGGCTGATCCTGGAGTCTTCTGATGCTGGCCCCGGGCTTCTAGCAGGGCTTCCTCTGAGGAGCTCCTTCTGTTGGTGGCATTATTGACCCTTTACCATGGTTGGTGAAGTTCACCGGCTCTGTTCCTGGCACTCCTTGCAGGGGCAGGCTTCTCCCCATTGGTCCCTCCTCAGTTGGGGCTGTGGGAGTCGCCACCTCCCTGTCACTGAGCGTTGGGCACTCCTGCAGCTGACGTGTGGGCTTTGTGTCTGTCTGCAGGGGCACAGCAGGCTTCTGCCGAGCTGTCCTGGTTCTGGGGTCTACAGCCCCAAGGGACCTTGCCCTGGAGCAGCCCTGCCTGCTCGCTGCCCTCCTTGCACCCAGGGCCAGTCCAGCTCTCCCGGGTGTGTTGGCTCCCACAAAGAGAGACTGGTTTTGGTGAAGGGCTGAGTGACAGGGCCTTGTCTGCTGCAGCACCTGGGAAGGAGGTTTTTGTCCAGGATCTGCACCCTTCCCACCAGCCACTTGCAGGCAGGCGTCGCATTGGAACACATCTTCATGGTGGTTGTGAAGGTGAACATCAGACCCTAAGGCTGTGCCTTCTGCCTCTGCCCTCTGCAGTCCATGTACAGGGTGGAGCCTACACCTCCCCTTTGTGTCTCTGGCCCTCTGCCCCCTTGGGCCTTTCCTCTGGGCCCTCCCCACTCGCTGTTGTGTTGAGCAGCTTATACTGTTTATCCCCCTCCCCACATGGGGCTCTTTCTCCCTCCTGAGGGCTCAGTGGGGTGCCATGCAAGCCCTAGTTGCCTAGTGCGCAGCTCTCCCGTTAGCAGCCTGTAGGTGCTAAGCCCAGGGCATGTTTGTACCTCTGTGCCCACTCTCCAACCCCGTGCCCAAGCGTCTCTGTGCAGAGGAAGCAGTCCTCGCTGCCACAGCTCCAGGCTCAGAATCAGCCCTGTAATTAAAAAGTGTGCCTCTGTGCTTAAGGGGAAAAAATAACTCAGAGCCGGCCTTCCCCCAGTCCTCAGGAGTGGAGTGCTGGGGATGGCAGGAGGTGGGGGTACTGTCTGCCTGCACGGAGGAGGCAGAGCTGGGATCAGGGTGCTGGTGGGTCTGCGTCTGGGCCCCTCTGGGTATGTCACCATGGGCAGCCACCAATGGCTCTGGGCTGTGTCTTGTACTTTGGCATCTACTCTGTACCTAACTCCTGTCTCCTCTGCCTCAGAAATCGAAGCCATAAAGCTGGCAGAGCAGAAGCTCAAGGAGGAGCGGAGACGCAGGGCCACGGCTGTGGTGGGGGACCTGCACCCCCTGAGGGATGCCCTGCCCGAGCTTCAGGAGCTGGAGGCAGGCAGGCGGCAGCAAACCAGAGGGTGAGTGTCCAGCACACTTGCAGAGCTGTGGCCAGAGGATATGTGTCCCAAGGGGAGAGAAGGGGGCCAGGGGCCACGAACCAGTGCTTCAGCCATGCTTGACCCGGGACCCTCACACTGTGCAGAAGCCTTGAGCCAGTGTGGCTCTGCAGGCCGAGTTCCATGTCCACCCCCGGCAGGTGACCTGGCCAGCTCTGCAGACAGCTCTTTTCTCATGCTGCTGTCACTCCTGGCTCAGTGGCAGCTGGTCCCACTGTTGGCCTCAGCCTTCTCTCAGTTGCCCCTGCATGTGTGCCTGAGCCTGCTCAGGGCCTCCACAGATGCTGTGCATCTCCCTGCTCTTCCCGCTGCCCTCACAGCGTCCCAGTTGACCTTTGCCAGCCACCTGACGGCACTCTCCCTCCCTGGTTTAGTCCCTGTGATCAAAATACTCGACAAGAATAACAGGAAGAAAGGTTCAGTTTGACTTTAGGGGTCTCATTGGTAGACGGCTGACTCCTTTCTTCTGGGCCTGAGGAGAGGCAGGTCAGGGTGATGGAAGGGCTTGGTGGAGGAGCGCTGCTCTGTTCAGGCAGCCAGCGAGCAGAGGGGGAAGGGGAGGGCGCAGGGAGAAGGTGCCCTTCCAGGGCAGCCCCCTGCCTGCAGTGAGCACCAGGCCGCCACGCAGACTAGGGCCCAGCTGCCTCACCTCCTGGCACTACTACATGGACGTCCAACCACAGGGCTCCCCCACTTCCTGCAGAGGGCAACCCCGGAGGACAGGCACTCCTCGTTACTGGGCCAGGGGTGCCCGGCAGGAGTGTGGAACCCACCTGCAAGCTCAGTGCACAGAACCGCATCGGGCAGTAAAGAGAAGACAGGCGCAGGGCAGGCAGGTCTGGCCTGGGCACCGGTTGACAGGGGCTTGAGGGGACAGATGGGAAGCGTCAGGGGCATTTTGTTCTGTCACAGTTGCTGGACTTTCATCATTTATTTCTGTCATTTCTAATTTTGCTTCTTTAAAAATAATTCTTTCTCCTACTGAATTTCCATCTGAGGAGAAACGGGCTATGTGCAGTTAGATGAGGGATTGCCCTTCCGCAGGGCTGGTGGTGATATGCCACGGGGCCAGATGGTCACAGGCCGGCTTCCCGACACAGACGCTCCCAGAACATTCGGTCCAGTCGAGGAGCTGCCACCGGGTCGAGACTGGATGTTGGACAGTGCCAGCAGTAAAGATTCCATTCCTGGTTCTGGAGCAAACAATGTGACCCTGGCCAAGGGTCCCTTCCCTCTTTTCAGTTTTCTCATCTGAAAAATGTGCTTGGCTCCCAGCAGGGAGAAGGCTGTGTAAACAGGCCGCCTGCCCAGGGAGGAGGGGTGTGTGGCGCTCCAAGTGGGCTGGGCTGGCCTGGGCTAGCCTGGGCTGCTCTGGGCTGCTGCTTGTGGGAGGGGCAATCCCACCTGCTCAGCCTCCTCTTCATTGGGGTCCCTGCCCTCCTCCTGGGCACCCCAGGTGTCAGGGCATCTTGGCTGTGGGCAGCCATTGGAAGACTGTCCACTTGAAAGCAGCTTCAGGCCGGTGGCAGAGCTCAGCCTGTGGACCTCGCCCCCAGCTGCCTGTTAGCGGCCCCCTCTGGGATGCTGCCATCCTCGGGACGGAGGGACTGCAGTGTGCCAGAGTATGGTAAACGTCAAATGATACTTCCTGAAGTCCTCCCCTCTACCCAGGACCCCATGGCAGCAAGTGACACTTGGCCCTCGTGTCTCGAAGCCTCCTCCTGCCTATGAGGCTCTCGCTGTCCTTGGCTTCGACCTTGAAAGTTCTGAGGAGCCAAGTCAGGCACATCTTAGGTGTCCTTAGATGGAATGCTTCTCACGTGTCCGCACGTGGGTTGGGGGTGGAGTTGTCAGGAGGAAGCCCCAGAGGTGACATGCTGCATTTGTGACATCCTACCAGTGCACATACCAACCCAGCTGGATACCATGATGCTTGGCACCTGGGCCCCTGGGGAGGGGTGCTCAGCAGGTCTCTGCAGTGACTCTCCCTTTCCTCGGTGCTCTCTGGAAGCAGGTGGGGAGCGATGCTCCTGTTCCCCGAGGACATGGGATTCTGCCACAGTGGGGGCTTTGTCCGTTCCCCACTGACTGGCTTAGTGGCGGTGTGGACTCACAGGGGTGTTTTGTACTTGGCTCTAGCCCAGGGCTGCTCCTCTGCTGCTGAGGCTGTCCCAGCCTCCTCATAGCCCCTGGGTCCCTCTGACCTGTCTGTCAGGGTGGGGTCACTGGGTGCTTCTGAGTGCTTCTCCAAGGAGCCCTGGTTCTTTGCCTTAGAGGGGTGATGCCAAGGTTTGGCACTGGGGGCGCTGTTCACTCCTGGGGAGTGAGCCGGCAGAGAGACCCCACGTGTGTGCTGGCCTGTGCCGTTCACATGGGGTTGGTGGGGAGTGGTTCCCCAGACGCCTCACTTCCGCCACCAGTTGCCAGTGTTGGCTCAGGACTGCTCACTCTCCGGCTTGGTGATCTCTGGAAGGTCTTGCTGGACTCCTTGGTCACAGTTGTATAGCAGAGGCGTACAGGCTAAAGCCAGCTCAGTTGTCAAGACACAAGGACAGAGTACAGGGAGGCCTGGGTGGGCTTCCAACCATCCCCTCCCCGTGGAGTCTGGAGAGCTGGTGCGGGAGGCCCAGTCCACTCTGAGCCTCGCAGGCGGCTCCCACAGCCAGCCAGGCAGCGGAGCCAGCTGCTCCACTGGGAGAGAAGCTCCCCTGCATGGCGGCCCCAGGGCACTTGGCCTCCACTGCCCCTTGCCCCACCTGCCTCTGCCTCATTGGATGGTTCCTGGGGCCTCTGGAGGGATGAGAGGTGGGGCCGAACTCGAGGTGCCTCCTGGTGTTCTGGGTCAGGAGACTGCCAGGGCTAGAGTCATAGAAAGCTGGAGCTCAGGCACTATTTTGAGTAGACACTGAATGTCTTTCATTCATATTTTAAAAGAAACATGAATAAGAAATTAGGTCTCCTGTTCTGGAGGCTAAATTTAGGTGCTGGCCTGGGGCTTGGTGGTTTTCTGTCCTTTCTCTGGGCCACCTCCCTCTGTGGGTGTCTGGCTCTGCTGGCAGCTCTCTGGGGAGAAGCCCAGTGGATGTCCCATCACAGGCTTCCCTCCCGCTGACCACAGAGCGGGTGGGCAGAGCTGCCTGATACTGTCCCCAGGAGTTGTGGGAGCTCTGCTAGGCACTCCCACCCGCCCCTCAGTCTGGCCCCCTGAGGTGGTCTGAAGCTTCCCAGGAAGTGGCATGTCACAGTGGCCTGGTCTGTGCCCTAGCCTTGTGGTGGGCTGCGTCTCCCCTTCCTGGAGCATCCCTCAGCTCCTGCAGGGGGGTCACAGCAGAGTGGCAGGTGGAGCACTCCTCAATCACAGAGCATGGCCCTCTAGAGAGGTCAGAGCATGGCAGATGTTGGGGACTTGCCTGTTGTGGCAGCAGTAGTGTAGACTTCCCAAGCAGGCCCTCTGCCCTGGCAGTCAGTCTCACGTGTCCCCTGGGCCCAGGGTCTTTACTGGCTGTCCATCTGGATGGCGTGCTCTTGGCTCAGGCCTGGTGGGTAGGGGATTCAGTGTGAAAGTCGGGAGCTATGTATCTTCCGTGTCACGTGGGAGCTTTAAGTGGTAGACAATTCCCAGAAGTGTGGGTGTCAGCTCTGGACATGGTGGTGAGGCTAGGCCTGCATGAGCTGAGCAGAGCAGATTCGTGGGGACCCCACCGTCTGGTCCGAGAAACTGGGAGCCATGTACACTCAGGGCAGGTGTGGGGTGAAGTGGTCCTGGGCTGACTTTGTGGCCTCTCTTTGTCCACAGCAGGGTGAGTAGCAAACCCAGGCCAGCCGAGCTCAGCCGGATGAGTGCAGCCCAGAGACGGCAGCTGCTGTGAGTACTGGCTTCGCCCCTGGAGGCTCTGCTCTTGCTTAATGCTGACTCTGGGTGGCTGTCTTCCTTCTTCCTGAAGAGAGAAGCTGCAGTGGGCCCTGGAGGCAGGCCCTGAGTGCAGCAGCCAGCAGCCAAGGGCAGCGATCCAGGGGACTGCCACACCCTCCACGCTGTGTCCCTTCCTTCCCCTGCTGGGGCGTGTGCCCTGGCTGCAGTTAGCCCCCTGTTAGTGAGCCCGGGAACCCATCAGGAGGGCCAGCACCCCATTGTCTGCAGAAGTTGGTGCCCAGGTGTTGTCCTGAGTGAAACAGGGTCCGTCCCATTTCACACCGTGGTGAGGTCTCTGCTCCCTTCAGAAGCAGTTGTATTCTTGGTCTCGGGTGACTCTGCCGAGGCATTTCTTCGTGTGGAATGCTCCTCAGTGTGCTGAGGCCCCCTGTGCCTCCTGTGCATGGTTAGGACCTCTGGTTGCTCCTGGGCGGAGCTTGTGTTGAACCGGGGCCTTCTGTGTCTGGCTCTTCTTTAGAACCATTGTGCATCGGCTGGGCCTCTCTGTCTCCCACATCCTCCCCTAACCCGTTTCACTCTGGATACTTTCTGACCCTGAGTTTGTGTCTTCTTATAGATTTTGTGCTGATTTGAACCAACTTCTTCACCAGCAGCTTTGAAGGCAGTTTGTGTAGGCAGAAACCCTCTCTGTGGCCTGCTGCTCCCTGTCCATCTCCCTGCCCCAGCCTCTCCCGGAGGCCAGTCTGCCCAGGCAGCTGCCTCTGCAGGGTAGCTAGGTAGGGCTGTTGCTTCCTAGGACTTACCCAGCTCCAGCCTCGTGTGTGTGGTGCCCAGTAGTCTCCCTTGTCCCTGTTGACTGCACTGCCTTTGGAGGCTACTCAGGGTTGTGACCCCTGGCCTCGTTAGGTTGAGTTTGGTTTCCTGTTGTTTGTGTGCAGTATCTGAGGGGAGAGAGAGGAAGCAACTTGTTTACTACCTGGATTTGAAACCAGAATTCTAGATTCCTCCTTGTGTCCATGGTACCTTACCAGTATACATGGGGCGCTCAGATCACCCAGAGAATTGGTTGTCTTGACCCCAAGACCTGAGGGAAGTATGTGCTTCGTCCCCTGCATGCTCAGGCAGAGCTGTTCCTGAAGGGCACTGGCTGGGCACATGTCTCAGTGCTCCTGGGGGCAGGTGCCACTGACCGAGGAAGGGGCTGTCCTCAGGTGGATGGGCACCCCCAGTGGTGCAGTGTGCCCCTGGGGGTCAACCCAGCTGCCAGGAACCAGGAGCCCTGTGCTGCGTCCAGGCAGCCTCCACCCATACACGTGCTGCCGAGCACCTTCAGGGAGTCTTGGCTCCCTTGCCAGCCCTTGGCCTTGGCTGAGCACCGGACTTCTGAACCCAGTTCAGGACTTTGCCACCGGCCAGCAGGCTCACTGCCAGGGTAGCCCAGATCCTGGCCTAGGGCCCATCACTGAGTCCTAGCTATGACTGACCAGTACCCTAGTGGTCTTGCCTGGGCCAAGGTGGCAGCCTCCTGCTGCAGGGTGAGACATTGGCTAACAATTAGCAACACCCTGGGCCTCCAGGGCAAGGCCAGCGGATGGGCTTGGCCCTCTCGCACTCACTCAGGCTGTCCCTGTAAGCCCTGCGCAGCCTGTCCTGGAGCCTCCAGCCTCGGTTTCACGTGTGGGATTTGCACTTAGGTTCCTTCTGTCACCCCCTGTCACCTGGCTGTGTGCAGGGTACAGATCTCTCCTGTAGGGTGGCACGGCCATGTTGGGGTAGGGAGAAAGGGTGAGAGGCCTGGCCCTGTGGTCTTGTGCATCTCTAAGCAGAACAGGCTGACTGTAGGGGTCAGGGTGGCCTAGGGCTGTGCCAACCTGTCACCATGGCACCAGGTCCTTAGTGTTCTCCCCGCCTGCTCGTGGCTCTCGTGTGCATCTATTTTGGGCTTGCCAGGGAGAAAGCCACCTCTTATGTAAGACAGCATGTCTGGGGTGTGTGTGCTGTTGCCACTCCCCATTCTCACTCCTACCTTAGCAGCAGCCTGTCGGGCCCCTCCTGGGCACGCTGGGCGACCCCCACTATAAATTCCACAGGTGGGTCTAGGGCTGTGAGGAGACTCCAGGGCTGTCACTCCCCATGTGTCGGGTTTCCCTGGGAACTGAGCTCTGTGTTCCACGTATCCACTCCAGTGTCTGGGACGTGGGGAGAGGTCGGTCCCGGGGTATTGAGAGCTTGCCCTTGGCTCTCTTCTCTGCGGGGCCCAAGGGGACTCTTGCCCTGCTACCTGCTGACCTCTGGTCTCCATTCTTTCAGTGAGGAAGAAAGGACCCGGTTTCAAGAGCTGCTGACCAGCCCAGCCTACAGAGCCAGCCCCCTGCTGGCCATAGGGCAGCAGCTGGCTCACCAGATGCAGCTGGAAGGTGGCAGCCAGCTCTGACAAGGGCAGTGGTGTGCTGTGAGCTCTGAGGGACGCACATATGGACAGAGGTGCCCAGAGAGAGCTCTCTGCCTCTGACTGTCCCCTGAGCCTAGATGGACATCCTCTCCCAGGTCTTTGAAAGCAGTCTTTAAAACAAACGGAGGACTTCATGGATTCCTTCCTATGCGTCACCAGGCCCTTCCCATGGGTCCACTTCCACTTTGGAATCTCCTGCATTTCCTACAGCTGGGCTGACCCTAGGACAGCTGCCCCACCTCCCCTCAGGACAAGCCACACCTCTAGGCTGGGCTCCACGCTCCTATGGTAGACATCAGTGGGTTTTCCAGGCCTGCTGGACGTCACCAAGAGGCACCACCTGTGCCCTGCTGCAGCCACAGCACATCTGGAGAAGGAATCTCACTGCAGGTGACCCTGATCACAGGGAAGGCCCAAGGACAGCGCCTGCTTGGTGAGCTCCTCCACAGACACAGCCCACAGGTCCCCGGTGCTGTGCAACCCCGTGGGCTCTCCCTCAGCAGCCGCCCTTCCTCCTACGTGGGCCTCATTGTCTGTGGGCTGCAAGCTGTGCTCTGTGAACTTGGGCACAGATGGCCTTGCACAGAGGCTGCCCGTGACAAGAACAGATGGGCACTGTGGACAGGCCTGTGAGGGTGCACACAGCTCAGCGGAGCTCGGTGGCTGGGTTGCCAGGTTGCTGGTGGCCATGTCTTTCTCGTGATAGTTGGTTCAGCCCGAGGTGTCTTCCTGGGGAAGGTGTGTTCATGATGTGCTATTTTAAGAGAAAGCTCCTGGCTTCCTGGTCTTCAATGCTTTTGTCTAACCTGCCTGTCCTGGCCCGTGGCCACCTCTGGTGATGCACCTATCAGGGCTGGGGCCCCTGTCTTCTGCCTGGAAACCAGGGCTACCTTGGGAGTCCTACTTGGGAGAGCAGACCAAGGCTGTGAAGCCAGCCTCCAGTTTGCTGGGAACAAGGATAGGAGCCAGGGTCCTGGGACATGGGACAGACTTAACAGAAGAGGAGCTAAACAGGCACCCCTTGCCTGCGTGGGCCTCTCGGTCGCCCAACAGACTGGGGTGTTGCGCCTCTCTTCACAGGAGCAGAGCACCTGTCACCCAGTGTTGTGCTGCTGGGGCACCTCGTGGAGGCAGGGTCTCTGGGCAGGGTAGGTCAGGCTGTCCTTCCCCGAGTAGCCCGCCACTTCCCCAGCCGCCCGTGAGGAGGGCGCTGGGGTCTGAGCGTGCTGCAGCAGCTGGTCTGGGTCACCTCTGTCTTCATAAAATGAATATGAAGGTTTTCAGTGAGGTTAAGGGAAGAAGCCTCGGTTCAGTTGTTTTCGTGAATAGACCCTGGAGCCCTGAGTTCCGATTTAAAGGGTAAATAGCAGATAAAAGCCCTCTGAGGCCCAGCAAGGCCATGAGGCCTCCCTAACAGGCAGAGGCTGCAGACCCTGCTTGGGACGCCTCATCAGGCACAGCACTGGCCCACACACAGTGGGCAGGCGCAGGCACATGTCTCCTAGAGAGTGGGCGCCTGTAGGGCGGGCAGGGTGCTGCCGGAGTGGGACCTTAGTCTTCCAGAGGCTTGTGCTATGGGAGGAGGACAGGTCTGGGGTCAGGCCCATGAAGGAGTGTCAGGACCCTGGCCCTCCTCTCCTCTGTCACCTTCCTGGCCACTGCGAGGTGAGCAGGCCCAGAGCGCAGCCAGGCGGCCAGGCGTGAAACGATGGGACAGAAGGAGCCCCTCCTTCCAAGTTCCTTCTTCCATGGTTCTGTCAGCAAGGGACGGCTGACAATGCCTCCCTGGAGGAAGGGGCCCACACAGTGGGGTCTCTAGGCAGGCCCAGGCCATCGCCCAGCACCCCTCTGTCCTGAGCTGGGCTGCACCTGCCCATGGGAGGGAACTTGTGGAGGTCTGGGGAAGGGAGGTGAGGGGACCAGGACCCAGCACCCTGGACACACCATCCCCAGGAAGCAGCCTCTGCCCCCTGCAGGCCCTTCTCCCTGCTCTGGCAGCCATGTCCCAGTCACCAGCTGCCTGACGAGCAGCATGGCAGACTTCAGGCAGCCTGGGGCTCTGTCTCCCCACCCCCATCTTGGGGGGGCCTCCTTTGCTGAACAGCGCCCTGGGACTGCCATGGCAGATGACAACACCTTGGCCCAGGATAAGGTCCCGTCCCAGTACACCCGTGTGTGTGCGTGGCAGATGCTGAGGTCGGAACTGCGTTCAGTGCCCACTGGCAGCCATGGCAGGCGCAGGACACCCAGGTCACTGAGGTGCACGTTTCCCTGTGGCTGGACAGGGCCTGGGGTCCTCAGGCTGCCCTCCCTGCATGGCCATCAGGGGACAGCGCCTCTGCTTCTGGCTGCTGGTGTTGCTGACAGCCGGGTGTCCCGTGGCTCCAGCCATATCCTGTGTCTGTCTGGTCTTAGCACACCACTCAGCCTCACTCCTTGTGATCTCATCTTAAGCAGTCATGTCTGCAGTGACTCCCGTTTCCAAATTTGGTCACATTCTGAGGTCTTTGGACATGAAATTTGAAGATGTCCTTGGGTTGGGGGTGTCTTGGGTACCAGAACTTTTTTTTGTACTGAGGATGGATGGAACCCAGGGGCGTTTTACACTGAGCCGCACCCCAGCCCTTCCTATTTTTTGAGATGACGTCTCACTAAGTGGCTGAGGCTGGTCTGGAACTTTTAATCCTCTTGCCTCAGCCTCTGAGATTACAGGTGAGCACCACCAGTCCGGTGGGCCCTGCAGTTCTAGAAGCCCCCATCCCTGCCTGGTGACACATGGCTAGGTGGGGCAGGGAAGAAAGGTGTTGGTGATGCAGGCGAGGACCTACATGGAGCAGAGCTGGGCTTGGGGTTGTGGGGAGGGGCCCTGCCAGAGGGGCTGGGCTGGGAGGCAGGACTCTCTCTTTGAGGTTGAGCACCTCCCCGCCCTTTCCCAGCACCCTGCACACCTGCACGCCTGTGCCTGAAGGTTCCCTGCTGGTTGTGTCCCTTCATTCCTGAGGGCACAGACCGCAGTGTAGGGTACCTAGAAGGGGGGGCTGCTGGGTGGCCACGCCCTGCACCTGGCTCCCACGACCCAGCAGCCCTCCCCCACGGTCTCCATCCACCTAGAGCCTGGCCTCCTTCCCTGCTGTCAGGGCCATGAGCCAACTAGGCACCCAGGAGAAGCAGGTGGGTTACCCCAGCAGGGGTCTTGGAGGAGGTGGAGGGGGGCCAGGTGGCACTGCTGCAGCTTGTACCTTGCACTGGGAGTGGCCTGGAAGCAGCAGGGCCTGTGCCCTGGCCCTGAGGGGTTGGCCTGCCTGGCTTCACACCTCCACACTGAAGTTTGTTAGAGGCATGACCACCCTGTCCACACAGGCTTTGTTCAGAAGAGGCTATCTCTGGCTCGTCCACCCCAGCCTGAGCCACAGCATGGCTATTGAGTGAAGGCTAACGAGACATCACCAGACTTGTCCTGGGCAGGTGGGCAATGGCCCGCAGCACAGCTGGAGGTGGGCAACACACCCACACTGACGCGGCTCCCAAGCTGGGATCAGGCCTGGGTGGATATGCCCGTGAGGCTCCTGTGCTATTCGGGAGCCAAGTGCTGATACACAGCAGGCATGTTGCTTCTGGAATGTTCCTTGTGCAGTGATAACATCATCCGAAACTCTGGGAGGTGCTGGCTGCCACCCAGGTCCTGCCTGCATGTGACTCCATGGGATACCAGGCCTCCAGCCTCCAGCGTGTTCTCCACTGCAGCCTGTGACCTGGCTTGGGTTTCTGAGGATGCAAGGAGCTGCAGGCTCGCAGATGGCAGGAGGTGGCCCTGCTACCTTCCTCTGAAACCCTGCTCCTGGGGCATCTGGCCTTGGCTCCTCCACAGACCCTGGCCCTATTGTAAAGTCAACGAGTCCCAGTTGGGCTGTATTTTTCTTCTAAAGGTGTGAAAATGTCAGTTAAAACAGTAATTTCAGGCCCACTCCTGGAGCTGGGTTGTGTTGAGTCTTCCTTAAGACTGAAATTGAAATGTCAGAATTTTGTAGGATATCACTCGGAGAAAAATGAGCAGTCATTGGGGTTTCCAAATCTAGACGTTTCTTCCTGAAGGAGCAGATGCAGAGGCTTTGGGGTCCCTGCAAGGCCTTTTGGGGCCTGGGGCCTCATCCCTCTTGTCCACATCACCAGAAACAGGCTCTGGAGCCAGGGATGGGCATCCCTGGCTGGGAAGCCCAGGGGTGGGGCTTGTCCTCCCTGGTGGGGAGGCTTCCACCAGGCCCACTAGACCTGGGGAACCAGGTGCTAGGTGTGGGGCTGCTCCCTGCCCGTGAGCCTACCCCCAGGCCTTCCGCCCTTGACTAGAGAGCTACACCCATACCACGTATGCACTAGACACTGCACACACATGCAGACGCACATGTCTGTGCACATGCACACACACAGGCATCCAGGGCACCTTGGTTTCTCATCGGGAGAGAGGTGGTTTCGTGGAGGGATCCTGATTCCCCTGGTATCCCTCAGTCACCCCAGTAGGTGACAGGCAGGACCCATGTCAGGACTGCCGGGGCACGACCCCCACTGCACCTCCTGGAGTGAGCCACAAGCCTTCTTGTCGTTTGGTGTCTGGGTTTTCTGGAGAGGCGGTGGTCACTTCCACCCTGGCTCTCCCCTCCGCTGGGGTCGGGAGCCGGTTCTCATTACCTGATGAGGGCAGGCCTCTGCTCAGCTCTGCAGGAAGGATCTCTACAGCTTTTCTTCTCACCTCCTGGACCCTGGCGTCTCTGGCATGTGGCCCAGGATCTGACTGGAGCAGCCTGGCCGCCCAGTTGTGGCCCAGCTCCTGCCCAAGCCTGTCCCTTGGCAGGGCCATGTCTAGCTCCACCCCATTCATTCAGCCATCTGTTCTGGTGTGATCTTTGGGCAGCCCCTGCCATGTGCTGCAGGAGAGAGGAGACCCATCCCATGTGAAGCTCATCTGTGAATGTGGCAGTGCAAGACTTCACGATGCCATCAGCAGCCCAGGCGCCACTGTCTCGTACTTGCCTCATTCTAGAGTGTGGTCGAGCAAGCCCCAACCATCACATGCACATTCCAGGCAGGAGGAGGAAGGAACGAGAACAAATGGCAAAAGGAACTAGGAAGGGTCACTTTTACTAGGAAGGTCACTTCTGTTCTCTTGTAAAAGCTTTTCTCCAGGCCCACCCAGCAATGTCCACTTCACCTCTCGCCAGGGCTGCTGTGATGGTTAGTCCCTGGTGCAGCAGTGTCCAGGGGCGGGGCCTTTGGGATGGCGGTTGGGTCATGGGGACTCTGACCTCATCAGTGGGTCCGCCCAGCAGCCAGGAGCAGAGTGGCTTCCTCCGCCACACAGTCCAGCTGCTGTGAAGCTCTGCCTCAGCTCCAGCCCAGGGCGATGCACCGCTGGCCATGGGCTGAGCCTTAAGCCCTGATCCAGATGACCTTTCCCCTCTGAATTGTGCAAGTTTGGGGGTTCCAGTCAGCAGCGAAAATGCCATTCAGCGCACCCAACTGGCCTCCCCTCCCCAGGTGGGAGGGAGGTGGGGCAGCAAGGAGAGCTAAGCGAGGGGAAGAAAGCTCCTTCCCGGGAACTGACCACGTGACCCCACCTTGGTCAGAGCCCTGTTCCTGACCACGTGACCCCACCTTGGTCAGAGACTTGGCCAGGGCAGCGGGCCTGCCATGTCCAGTGCACCCTGCTGCCCTTTGAGGTTTGTAGTCAGTGGGGCCGGGGGGGGGGGGGGGTGGTGATGCTGCCGTGGGGCTGTGCACGGGGGCTGGGGCACTAGTGGGTCTGTCCTGCGGCCAGGCTGGGCATGCAGGCCAGGAAGCCCTGAGCAGAGGACCCCACTGTGCCCCTGCTTTCCTGGCACCACAGGGATGTCCTGCACCCGCAGCTCCACCTGCCAGCCGTGAAGACTGGGCTGAGGGGATGTGAGACGCCCACAGAGTTCTTCAGCAGTGGGTGCTCGAGGCCATCTGTTCAGGCAGTCCTGGGTGGATGGGGAGTTGGGGGCCTGGGTGCAGCCCTGACTGGTCAGCCAGCCCTGCTTCCAATATCTTTCCTGGAGGCCACGAGGTCCCAGGAGGGGTTGGCCGGACAGGACCCCCCGAGTTCCCACCCAGTGACCACAAACCAAGGTCTGGAACTTCTCAGCAGGAACTGTCCACATGGATGTCCATGGGCTGTCCTCAACTGCAGGCCATGGTCTCTGCTCTAAGTTCCCCTGATGAGGTGGCAGGTCCTGCAAGTGCTTTTCACCACCAGTGGGTACACACAGTGGCAGGGGGCTGGCAGCAGGTGTCCAGCAGGAGCAGGGACCTGGCCCTGGGGATGGTGGGAGGAAGGCCACCTCCTTGCAACTGTCTGTTCTTGGCCCAGAATTAGGCCCAAAGTCCCAAGGCAGGATGCTCCTGTGACAAGAAAGCTGTTGCCCCGGCTGCTCCTCTCCACAGGACCCAGCACTGCGGGCTGCAGGTGAGCAGGCCCAGCTTGGGCAGGAGACTCCCATCTTCCAGAAGGGAGCCAAGTGGAGAGGAGTCCAGGCTGTGACTGGCGCTGAGGCTGACCCTGTGGAGCCTGGGCCATGGGGTCTATGCCGCGGGAGGGCACCTGTCCCCTGCAGTAGAGATGTGGCATGAGATGGTGTCAGAAGACCTCAGTCACTTGCTTCCAAAATCACTCCCTCAGGAGGTGCTTCTACCGCAGCTAGGGACAGTCGATGGCCCGTTGAGCAGCCTGGGCAAGGACCAGTGCCAAAACGTGCAGGACATCCCTGACTGGCACAGAAGCCCTGGTGGGGCCTGAGCTCGGGAGTCCCCTGCCGGTGGCCTGTTGCTGGTTCCCTGGACCTCATGACCAGCTCCAGGCTCTGTGCTCCCAAGTTCTCTTCTAGTGAAGGGCAGCTTTTGTGCCTGGCCTTGCTCTCGGGTCAGCTGTGCTCCCCACCTGTGCCTGGGGCTCCGGCCCCTCCTCTCAGCACTAGACCAACCTGGAGTGCCACACCCTCTGTGGGCACAGGCGAGGTCCAGCCGTTGATCTGTCCTGGATGGGGTGGGAGCCTTGGCTGGAAGCCGGGCTCTGGGGAGAGGCTGCCCCAGGGCCATGAGCCTGAGGGCCTTGGCTCAGAGGCCCTGGGCTCCAGCTGTGATGTGGCTGCATGCTGGCCCTGACACACAGCCAGGGGCCCTCACCCTCTGTCCTCCCGAGGTTTAGGAGATAAGGTTGGGCGGCCATACGGAGGCCACTGTGAAGGCCCCTGGTTGCTGGTCAGTGTAGACCACTTTGCCACCTGTGTGGGGACAGGATCGGGCTCCAGGGCCTATCTGTCCACCTGTACTCGGAGGGTGGCTTGGGCACCTGAATCCCCGGTGTTCAGCCTCAGATGGTGCCCGGCCATGTTCCTGCTCGCCAGGGCTCAGCGAGGAGTCGAGGACCCCTGCCAGATGGGCGGGTGCTGAGTACAGAGGCAGGGCTGGGCAGCCCTTCCCCCGGTACTCCCCTCTTTCCCTCGGCTGGGTCCCACCTCACTGCGTCAGGCCTTGGTCTTGGAGAAGTCACTCAGGATTTTCCAGAGTCTTTGGAGAAACACCTGCCAGAAAGCACAGCCACCAAATAGTAAGCTGGACACTGCCAGGTGTGTGCCACCAGCCCTCCCTGAGATGGCCGTGGGTGTGCACACATGCACACACTGCCCCCCCCCACCCCCCACAGCTGCTCACCCAAGCCTTCTGCCAGTTAGGCCAGGCGTTGGCTTTTCAGTGTGGACCCCAGGTTCAGGAGCAGGTCCTGCTCTTCCGGGCTGTGCAGCATTTTCAGAAGAGGCGGGACCTGTCAAGCTGCTTCCTGCATCCGCTGAGAAGCTCTGAGCTTGTTACTGTTTCCTCCGCCAGGCCAGCAGGGCGAGCCTGTTCAATTCCACAGGCCCTGGGACTTTGTGTTCCTGAGGTCTCATCAGGGTACAGAGCAGTCCTTAGCCTGCTGAATTTCCTTCCTGGGGCTTCATTTTGGAAACTGGCCCCTGCTCATGGGTGACTTGCCTGCTGCCTTTGTTCCCATTTGACCTTCCTGGGAAGCAGGGACTTCCTGGCTGTGTGCCTGCCCATCATGGCTGAGCCCAGCAGAGGCCTTCCTGCAAGACCCTGGGAGGTGCTCTGCATAGCACCTGTCAGCTCGTGGTGTGTGTATGTGGGGTGCATTTGTTACTAGTCTGCAGATGTGGCCTCTGGTGAGCTAGGTCCTGCTGTGAGGACCACATGGAGCTGAGCAGAGTTGATGGCTTACAGTGGCCTTGATGCAGGAGCAAGAAGTCAACAGAGGCTGCTTATGCCTCTGAGGCCTTTCTTTGAAATCTCAGTGGAATCCTCCCTGACCCCCTACCTCTAGCATCCTGCATTTCTGCAAAACCAGCATCACATCTCCGGGGACCATGGCTGCAGCAGCCTCTGAGTGCCTGGGCAGCCCAGCACAGTGAAACAAGTTGCTAGGAACTCCTGTTCATGCAGGGTGCACTGGTCTCTTCCCAAAGGAATTTTTACTTTTACACCCTTGACCCTAGATGGGCGTGGTCTTGCCAATTCCTGGGATCCCCTAAAACCATCTCTCTTATTGTTTCTGGATAAAGTACTTAGCATTTCTGTAGTAGTTATAATTTCTTTAATAACCATATCTTCCTTGGCCTCAGTTTTACTCAAACTTTTCTAGCCACACTGCAAGTTTTTCAAATTTTTTTTGCTCTACCTCCTACTCCTGATTATCAAAGTAAACTTGGCTAGAAGCCACCAGCAATATCTACACTACCTCCTGAATGCTGAGCTGCCTTGAAATTTTCTCCACCACATTAATTAATCCACCACCTTTAAATTCAACCTCACAGAAAATCTCAGAATGTGGGCAAAATGCAGACAACTTCATAGCCAGAACATAAGACAAATGGCCGGTAGTCCAGTTTCCAATAGTGTCCTATTTCTGCTCTGCAACCTTATGAGCCCAGTCTTTACTGTCCACAGTCCTGGTCTTCTGAGCTCCCACCAGAATTTTCAGTTAAGCTATAACATTCTAAAGTCTTTCCAGCTTGCAACTCTGAACTTTTCAAAATTCCTCCCACAAACAAGTTCCAAAGCTTCAGAACCGCATGGTCAGGTTAGTCACAGCAAATACAGGAATCCCAAGCCCTTGGCAGATAACACCCCTGCTGAGAAAATGACTCTCCTTCAATCTCTACCCTAAGAACTGGAACTTGTCCAACTATGCCCAGGAGAAAACTGGGCCTGGAGCCTCAGGATGTCAGTCTCCTGCTGAGAAGACCCCACCCTCTCAGGCCAGGGCTTCTCTCCCCTGGTGCTGCATGGAGAATCTCTGGAGTCACCCTCAGACTCAGCTGCCAGGAGTGTGTGTGTGGGGGGAAGTGGCTGGGAGCTCGGGGAAGCTGTTTAGATGAGGCTCAAACAAGCACCGTCATATATCATAAGCAGCTGTAAAACAAACTTAGCCTTGTGATAATATTTTGGTTTTGTTTCCACTATACACACCTAGAAAAATGTGAGCAGCATCTCAGCCCAGCGTGAGTGCATGCCAAGAACTCTGGCCAGCTGCTCTGCAGCATGCCTCTGTGTGCCCAGAGGGCCACTGCTCAGGCAGGCCACAGGGAGAGCCCAGCAGGGTCTCCCTCCTCAGCTCCTGGCAATGTGACACCAGGAGGTGGGGTATGAAGTCAAAGCCTCACTAGCTGCCAGGCCCCAGATGGGGTGCAACTGGACTTGGAGATCCTCACATAAGACTCCCAGTCTATAGTCAGCCCTCCCCTGTGAGGACAAGGAGTGGGGGCCCAGAGCCACGGGGCCACCCAGGGGCCTGGCTGCTGCCAACAGGTGGCAGCATTCCAGGGCCACCTCTGCTTCTCTCAGGGCACTGTACCCCCTGTCCTGGAGGGCACCAGGGTTCCTGCTCCCAGTACCTCCTCACTGTGACATCTCTGCCCAGAACACACCTCTACAGGTGTCCCCACCCTAGGCTCTTTTCTCCTGGGTCACAGACTTAGAACCCTCTGTGGGGAGGGCCAAGCCTACATCTCAGCAGGTCAAGGCCCTTGCAGCCCACGGATGACCAGAGATAGACCAGGAGCAGCTGATGTTAGCCATCCTCCATGTTGACACCTTGGTGAGGCCCCACCCACGTGTGTGACCCACACAGGCAGCAGGGCCACACTGAGATGGGGTGGTGTCAGTGAGGCCTGTGTCCTTGGGCTCTTTGTAGTGTCCTGAGAGGGCCCTGAGGTCCAGCTGCAGTTTCCCACCCTTAGGGTCACAGAACTCAGCTTCAGTGAGCCTCAGGATGCTGCAGGGGCAGAGCAAGGGGACTGTCCAGGTGTGTCCTGGTTGGCCAGTGCTGCGATGGAGCAGGGAGACCAGTCCCTTTCAGAGGCCGTTCCTCCTACACACAGATCTAGCCCTTTGGTGGCCTGTGGGCCTATGGCTGTGGGCTGCAGGGGTGCTGAGAGCTTGGGCAACTGTGATGCTCATGGGGTGGCCAGTGGAGGTGGCAGTGGATGTGTTCTGCCGGTCACTGAGCTAAGCAGGACTCCTGTCCGACTGTGAAACCTAGCAGCATGTCCCTTGTGTTCAGTTATTCAATACTCGTTAGCCACTGGTCCTCAACACACCCCACAGTGCTGAGAAAGGGCTGGTGTGTGCATGCCTGTATGAGCGAGTGTGTGAGCATGCATGGGTGTAGATTTTGTTTTTGCCCCTGTGTGTGTGTGTGTGTGTGTGTGTGTGTGTGTGTGTTAGGAGGCAGCCTTTTTGTTTTTGAACTTGACCTTTTTTGTGTGTGTGTGCTGGGGATTAGAACCCAGGGCCTTGTGCATGCAAAGCAAACACTCTACCAACTGAGCTAAATCCCTAGCCCCCTTGAACTTGACCTCCTGGACCAAGCCTCCATTTGCTTGGGGCAAGGGCCTACAAAATGAGATTCTGTGGCATCAGACACCTGGACACCCACGTGCTCTGAGAGAGTTTTCCAGGGCCCTTCATGTCCCCACTTAGTGCTGGATTCCAGCCTGGCAGGCGATCTGAAGAAACCCCTGCCTCCTGCCCTGCCGTGGGGTTTGCCCATCTCTCGGAGCCTGTCAATCAGATGGTTTTTCCAGGAGTCAGATCACAAACACTTTCTGGAGACAGCTGGCAGAGTTGCCCGCCCCCGGGAGGGGAAGGGAGACGAGAAGCTGCTGCGACCACCTTGGGACAGTGGAGCGCGACTGGACGGGGCCCTGTCTGCGCACCCTGGCCTGCAGGGGCTTCTGTCCCCACAAGGGCCTCATTCTCTCCTTGGCCTGGGAGTAGATGGCCAGGGAACTGGAGGCAGGCTGGTCTCCTGAGGCCCAGAGGAGTGGGGTCCTTGGTGACCCTCAGCAAGAGTCATCCCTCAACACTGGCTCAAGCCCTTGGTGCTCTCTGGGCTTGAGGTTCCTGTGCCTCCCCCATTGTGGGTACCAGGTCCTTTCCAGAGGGCCTGGGCAGAGACTGGGCAACGTGGATGCCATGGGGCCCTGCAGGCGTGGCAGGGACAGAGCTGCTGCCTGCATGGAGGCTGTGGCTCTTGCCCCAGGCACTTGCTCCCAGAGCAGCTGGTTGGAGGGGACGCTGACTACACTGTCTCCAAGCCAGGCCCCAGTGCAGAGACCCCATCTAGAGGTGGCTCAGCGACCTCCTCCCAGGCCCTGCCCCACTTTGCAGGGAGGACACGTTGGCAGATGGGAGAAGACAGGGGAAGCCTGGTGCCCTGGGTGCTCTCTGGGTTTGAGATTCCTGTGCCTCCCCCAGGACCTGTCGCCTGACAAGTCCCACAAGTCCAGGTCCATGTGCTGGAGCTGTGGCCAGGGAATGTGGAGTGGGCAGGAGCAGGAGAGCAGGAGGGTCTCAGCCCCTCCACTGGGAGGAACTTGTGAGGGGCTCCAGTCTAGGCTGTGCCAGCCCTGAGCTCCCAGGTGGCACTGCTGGGGCACGTCCCGACAAGGCAGTGGACATGGCGAGCAGGTGGGGAGCAAGGGCACGGGGCCTCACCTGGCCTACACCACCCACTGGACTACCTCCCCTGCTCCCGGCCTCCTGACCTGTGGAGGAGGGACTTTGGAGCTTCTGGAGCCTGTGGCCCTAGCTCTAGGTTGGAGACCCCTCTGCCATGAGCCAGGGGAGAGGAAGGTTGGTGCTGCTCAGGTGATGCCCACTGCCCCGTCATGCCAGCCTCCTCACTGGACAAGGACATCCAATGGCACCAGGAGAAAGTCCAGAGCAGTTCTGAAGCAGGAAAGACAGGCCCAAGTGGCCCTTCGCTGCCCTTTCCCAGTCTACTCCAAAAACCACTGGCCTGTGGGGTCCAAGTGTGCGTGGGCAGTGACGCCAGCTGGCCAGGTGGGATTTGCTGCCATCTCTGGGGGTCCAGGGGCCCAGGGCCCTGCTCTGCTCTGCGGCTCCAGCTGCCTGGCTCTGTTCCCCTCGGTGGTGTGGGAGGGAGCCGCTTGCGGGAGGCAGCGGGAGGCAGCGTGAGCTCGCACTCTCGCCTGCAGGAGAAGCGCCTGTTATTTTTAGTCTCATTGTCAGTGTCATTGGCGCATGGAGGACGAGGTGCCTCTGCTGGTCCCATTTTTAACACACCTTGGAGGAGGCTGAGCAGCAACATTGGTGCTTCCCGCAGCCCTGGGCAGGAGCTTCCCCTCCCAGTGTGGCCCAGGGGCCCATCTGGTCCTGGCCCAGGGGCCATCTGCACCTGGAAGGTGTGCCCTCCCTGACGTCTGCCAGGCCCCACGTCCCCGGGGGCAGGAGGAGGGGTGGCAGGTGGGCCTGAGCCATCTGGGTGAGCAGGGGTTGGCAGCCAGAAAAACCCCACCAAGAGGAGGCCATCCTCAGCCCGGCAGCACCCACCTGGACACTGGCTGGACGTGCTGCCCCGAGAGTGCAGCTTCTTAAGACTGGGGAGTGGATGGGCGCCCAGGCTGAGAGCTGTGCTGCTGACCTCTGGACAGACCGCAGAACTGCTGCCCCCAGGCCTCTGCTTACCCTGTGGCTCCTGCTGTGCCCAGGAGCCTGTGAGCCTCCCTGGGTGGGCGAATGATGGGGCCTCCTGGACACAAGACTGTGAGAAGGAGGAGCTGAGGCGGCTCAGGGACTGCAGAAATCCCAGCAGCAGCCGTCATGCTGCCGGGCCCTGTCTTCTGGCCCTCCCTGTGCAAGGCAGGCCCGGCTCTGACTCTGCAGGGCCCAGAGGGGGACTGCACATGGGCCTTGCCTGAGCTGGGACACCGAGGAGCCTCAGGGCTGCAGTGTGACTGGACCTTCACTGCCCTTCAGGTGGCCTGGGGCACCAGGAATGGCTTGGGGGCTGCTGTGACCAGAGTCAGCCAGCCCCACCAGCATGGATGTTGCCCTCCTGCAGGTGTCTCCGAAACCCAAGCCCACCTTGGGGTCTGCAGAGGAGGGGCCAAGGCCAGCCAGGCCTTGGAAGCTGGGGACAGATGAGTGGCCAAGACCCCACAGGAGTGCTCTGCACTGAGCAATAGGGTCAGCCTTCCTGTGGCTCTCTGGACGGGGGAGTGGCCTGACCCTTAGGGATGCAGGCTATCAGAGAGAGGTGCACATCTCCAGGCGCCCTGGGCACTGGGCAGTTGGGGGCCCTGCCTCTGCAGCCCTGCAGACTCTCAAGGCCAGGCCAGTGGCAGGCGATGCCTGTGTGTCTGCTCTGACGGGGGACAGCTCTGCTGGTCCAGATGCTATGGCCACTCCAGATGCTATGGTCACTCCTAGAACCATGCTGGGCTGCCACCTGCTGCCCCACCCCTGCACAGTAGGAGGCGTGGTGTTTGCTTGGCCAGGGGCTGGCCTGGTTGGAGGAAATGGGAGAAACTGTGTTGCCTGGGGGCGGTGCCGGCAGCCAGCCTGGTCCTGGGGTAAGGACCGCAGTTAAAACCTGTCACCTCCCCTGGGCACGGAGCCTGGATGGAAATGAGCCATTGTGGATCTGGAGACTGCTTGATCCGTGGTCCAGCCTGGCCCATGCTCACCAACACCAGGGGCACTAGGGAGGCACGGCTGCCAAGGGACACATTGCATATACGGTACCTGGGCTTTCAAAACTAGAGTCCCTCATGGATCTGTGGGGGGCCATCACACTATGTGACCAGCATTTCCATTCTCTGATCCGTTGAGGCTCTGTTGGTCACTTCCAAGTGATCTGGCCACATCAAAGTGGCTCTAGATGGCTACCCTGATCTTGGAAGTCACAAAATGTCACAAAATGTGTCTTCGTGCGCAGGCGCGCCTTCCTGCAGCCCCAGGGTCGGGCTACGCTCACCGTTCCTTTGTGATGTTACCCCCTTGCTGAACCCTTGTTTGGGATAGAATGTCCCATGGAAACGCCCCTTGTGTGTCCCCTTCTCTTGCTCTGCCCTTGGGTGTGGCCTTCCTAGATGTCAGTCCACCTGCTGACAGTGGACATCACGAAGCTAGACTCAGCCCCCTGAAACCTGACCCCTGGCCTCATTTGAATGGCTTCTCCTCAATAAAAGGGGTCAGCCCGCCTTGCTCTCTCTCTCTGTGGACCCCTAGGGTCAGAGGAGCCATCACAGGGCCCCCAAAGGAAAAGGTCTCTCTGTCTCTGAGTGGTCATTTCGTGAAGCCCAGGTTCCCTGGAGTGACCCTGAGTGTTTTAGTCACCGGGAGAAGCCTGGGCTCCCTTCTGCCGCCTTTCTCCGTGAACTTCAGGGTCCACTGATGAGAATGTCCCAGGCCAGGACGCTTCCCGTCATTCTGTGATACGTGCACACTCTGCAACAGTGTGCAAATCTTTGCTGTGTGTGGTATTTTCCAAGAAATCAAAGCTCCAAAGAGCCCTTCTTGTCTTCTGAAACACGTGAAGACATCCTCCTCTCTTGACGTGACGACAGGGATGTGTCCAGCTCACCCTGTCCCATGGGCAGTCACTGAGCCAGGCCAGCTGTGGGGCTCACGGCTCAGTGCACCATGACTTGGAAGTGTGGCCACAGCAGATGTCACAGCCCTGGCTCTGGAGCAGCGAGTCCCATCCCCCCACATTCCCCTGCATTCCCAGGAGAAGGCCCCTGGTGCCAAAGACGCGGCTGCTCTGCCGCCTGCCAGGTGAGCCCCGAGGGCTGTGGCCCAGGTGAGGTGCTCAGTCTGGCTCTACCTCCTGTCCTGTCCCCACTGACTCATGAGTCCGTCAGCTGTGGTCACACGTCTCTCCTTGCCCAGCCAACACTGTGCTCTGTGGCCAGATGGGGACTCTCATGAGGTTCCAGCCCTGAATCTGTGGCACTCCAAAGACAAGACAAGACAAGGCCTCTCTGCACACTGTCGGCCACGCTGGTGGTCACTCCACGATCTCAGCTGGCTCGGCATGGACTTCACCCTGCGTGCAGGAGGCTGGTCAGCAGCACTTCCTAGGCAGCGGTCTCAGGACGTGTGGAACCCGTCGCCAGCTCTTGGCCCATCACCTCAAAGTAAACAGCCCGTCCTCCTCGGGGCAGAGTCCTGAAGAAAATAACCAATGTGTCATTGCTGTTGGTGACATCATTGCCACCCTGGTGCCTGAGAATTAGCTGGGAAAATAGAAGAGCAGACTTGGAAGGTCAGTGGGACGCCTCCCAGCAGAGCTGGGAGAGCCAGTGTCCCTGCCTAGCAGAAGCCCTCTGCTGTGTGTGGGCTGGGAAGGACCCCAAGGCACATTCACGGAACCCTGCACCTCACTTGATTGGCAGGGCAGATGTGGCCTGTGCGGCAGAGGGTGTGTTGGGCTCTGGGATTCCCAACAAGGTTGTCCTGGGCCACCTGGGCGAATGCCCTCACCTCTGGGTGAGGGGTCCCCGGGAGAGGAGGGTCCAGGATGCCGCCTCGAGGTCCTGCAGGGCGCTGGGGAAGCAGGAGGAGCTGGGGTCGCACCCAGTGAGGCTGCCAGCCTGTCCACTAACGTCTGGTCAGGGCGTTGCTGCTGGCCACCCTCCTCCTGAGCAGAGCCTCAGGTCAGGGCCTGGACACCAGAGCAGCCTCTGGCTGTGGCCCGGGAGCTGCGAGCCTGTGTGGAGTTTCCCTGTTTAGACACCTAACCCTGGAGGCAGCTCAGGCCTGTGAACAGGTGACAGTGGCACCCACTGGTACCCACAGGCTTGAAGGCCCCCCCCCCAGGGTCTCACACACCTTTCCAATGAGGAGCCCAGGCCCGCCAGGCTGCACCGTATGACCCTATTCACGCGACGTGCCGGAAACGGCAAGCTACAGGACGGAGGTGGACGTGGCCAGTCGCTGGCCCTGCTGTGATGGCCAGGCCTCTGTGGGACAGGACCCAGGCCTGCCAACAGGTCTTCTGGCTCAGGCTCCTTGGGACTCAGGTCCAGTCGTCCCGGGGTTGTTCCCGAAGTTGTCACCACAGGTTGGTTGCCTTCTGGGGGACTCCATGAGGCCCCTCTGCTGCATGACCTGGGTGACCCGGCTTCTCTTCTCAGGTTGGCCGCTGTCCCTGGTGGCTCGTGAGGAGGTGACAGTGGGAGCCCAGGGCACAGGTGGGAGAGGCTAAGAAAGGCCAGGGCTGGAGCAGGAGGACGCCATCTTGGCCAGCAGCTCAGGTCAGCGGGGCCAGGCGGCTCACAGGGATGCTCAGAGGAGGCCTCGAGAGCAGCTGGGCTTCGGGACTGACCCCTCTAGCTCCAGGCTGTCCACGTGGCCTGGCCAGGGCCCCGCTGCCAGGGTGCAGTTGGCTCGTGGCCAGGCTGGGACTGGACCGGGCCTCCTGGATTCCCAGCAGCGCTCGCTCTCCCACGCCCCCACGAGTGTCTGAAGGGGGCGGCCAGAGTCCAGCTGTTGTGCTGGCCCCTCTCCCAAGGGCAGGCGTCGAGGGAAAGCTGACCCCCTGCAGGACGCCTTGGGGACCAGTTGCCTGGGCTCAGTCATCAATCCCAGAGGACGTGAAGCTTCAGGTCAGACCCTGGGCTTCACCCCCACTGGCCACCCAGGTGCAGTCACAGGGGCCACAGCTGCCCGAGGCGGGGAGCACCTGGCTACCTCGGCCGGGACCAGCCCTGCGGACCCAGGAAGGGGCTGGTGCTTCCCCTGCACCCCGGACCCCACAGGCAGCCCAGCCCACAGCCTCAGCCCAGGCCTCACCTGGAGTCTGGCGTCTGCCCTGCCATGTCCCTGTGGGCCCCGCCAGGGCACGGATCCATCTTGTGACACTGTAAACACACTGTTCTCAGAATTAGAAATCGATGGCAGTGGGGGCTGGGAGGCTGCGGAGGGCGCAGGGGGGCTGGGCGCCGGCCAGAGGCTGCCGCCCGGGCGAGATGCCAGGGAGTCAGACGGGCGTCCGGCAGGGCAAGCGGGGCTGCTGCTCAGAGCCTCGGGGTGGGGGGGCGCAGGGTCCAAGGGCCCAAGTCCTAGGAGGCCCCGTGCCTGGTGCGCTGCTGGACCGTCCTCCCTGGCAGGCAGCAGGGCCACCCTTAGGACCACACAGCACAGGGTGGGGCTGGCACTGGTGTGTGGTTTTGATCAAGATGCCATTTTTTCAAAAAGATCATGTCTTGGAGCTGGGGTGTGGCTCAGCGGTAGAGCGCTCGACTGGCACGTGTGGGGCACTGGGTTCGAGCCTTAGCACCATATAAAAATAAATAAATAAAGTAAATGTACTGTGTCCCTCTACAACTAAGAAAATTTTAAAAAATCATCTCTTATTGAATTAGGAAAAAAAGAAATGATTTACACATCTTAGAATTCAACCTGCCGAAGGCCTGGTTCAGGGGCACTCAGAGGAGGCACCACCATCTTCCCCAGAGCTTCCTCATCCCCGAACAAAGTCCAGCGCACAGCAGCAGCCTCCAGCTCCTGCCCCCCAGCCCTGGAGCCACCATCTACCTTCTTCCTCTATGCATTTACTGTGACAAAATGCCTGAGGCAGTAACTTAATAAAGAAACAGACTTGTTTTGGCTCCTGTGCCAGAGGTTTCAGTGACAGTCCGTGGGCCTAACCTGGAGTCACGTGCCTGCCGTCCAGGATGCGCTCAGGTCTGCCCATGACACCGGCGCGGGTCCTGTGCCCCCCCACGGCCTTGTGCTCAGTTCTGTTGTTGGGGGTCCTTTCTCCACTGCACTGCCTTGGCCCTCCTTCGGGTCAGCGTGTGGGGAGTGCCCTCTCCTGGGCCCCGTGCCAGCAGGCTGCCCCGGCTGGTGCAGTGCCGTGAGCCTTGGCACGCAGGCAGCGTGTGCCCCAGGCTCCTTCCCCCACCACAGCCGTCTGGGCTGCTGGACGCTGCATTTCCGTATGGATTTCAGAACGAGTTTATCGAATCCCATCCGGAAGAGAACCTCTGGTCCTGGCTGGGACGCGCTGAAGGCTGGGTCGGCTGGGTGGCTGGTGCTGGTTCCCACGGAGACGGCCCGTCCCCCTCCTGAGGGCCCCGTTTTCTGGCCCCTGCTCCAGGAGTGCCGACCTCCCTGTGTGCCCTCACCTGAGCACGTCCTGCTGTCCTCCCAGGTGGCCTGGTCTGCGTGGTCATTTCTGGTGGCTGTTGCTAGTAGAAATACAGCTGGCGCCTGGACACCGGCCTTGCTTCTGTGGCCTTGCTGCACCCTCCACTCACCGTGGCAGCTGCCTGGTTTTCTAAATTCCGCCAGATTCTCTGCCTCGATGAACTCATCCCCTGCAGATGAAGATGTCGCTTCTGGTCACGTGCCTTGGCTCTCTCCTCCCTTTCCCACTGAGCTGGCCGCACCTCCAGCACCATGCCGAGTGGGTGTTAGTGACTCCTCCTGTCCCTGACCTCAGGGGGCGTCCATCTCACAGTGCCTGAAGCTTGCTGTGGATTTTCAGAGACTCCCTTCTACCCCGCTGGCCAAGTCCATCAGAAAGAGCTGGATTTCGTCAAGTGCCTACTCCAGGCTGCAAATTCCGAGTTGCCACTCTTCTGGGAGCCGGTGACCCCTGGTGGAGTGGCCCGGGGGAAGTGTCCTGCTGGCCACACCTGGAGCATCCTGGTGGTGAAGGGGGCTGCAGGACGAGACATGGCAAGGGCAGGAAGAGGGGAGACAGGGGGGAGGAGGAGAAGGACCTGAGGCGGCCCCTCCACCTGGCACCAGCCTCTGCAGACCCCTGCTCTGTGCAGTGTGAGCCTCGCATCCACTGGCCTCTTTGTGGGGTCACTGCCCTGCCTGCCCTGCCAGGCGACCCTTAATGTGATCAGAGACTGCTGGGGAAGGGCTGGGGCTAGGGCCAGCCCACCTCAGTGAGCTGGGGGCGGGGCAGCGGCAGGGCCTTCGTGGAGCTCAGGCAGGCTGACGTCCACAGGGACAGGGGTGGGGCGCCATGGCTGGGGTGGGACTGGCCTGTTGCCGTCCAGTGTGTGTTTGGTCCTGTCCCTCGGTGCCCTGTGCTTTGTGAGGCTGGGAGTCTCCACTTGCAGAAGCTGCTGGAAACAGCCCAGCAGCCCAGCTCGGGGCG